ATCTATCTATCTATCTATCTATCTATCTATCTATCTATCTATCTATCTATCTATCTATCTATCTATCTATCTATCTATCTATCTATCTATCTACACACAGATTGTTTATTATATCTGGTAGATTTGACAAATCAATGTCTGAGCTGTCCTCCCTTCTCCTAACATCTAAATAAGACACTTCCTGAAGGTTGTTTTTCCTAAACTTGCTGTTCGTCTGCAAGCCTCCACGTCAGAGTAAATCTGACTCGAGAGGCTGCCTTTGAAAGGTGACACAACCGACCGAAGAGCAAATGAAGTGCTCCTTGTGCTGAGCAGAGACAGTGGAGCTGAAACAAAAAAAGACATTTTAACAATGACTGAGTACGATTCTGTCTTCTGCATCTGAGCTTGATTGTCATTATCCATTAATCTAATTGGACTTTACTCTGACAGAGTATGAAAGGCCCTTTCTGCTTGAGTTAAGCCCATATTTGTGGTTTACAGCAGATTACTGAGTAAAAAAATAAAAAAATCAGCCATGCACAAATTCCATTTGGTTATCGCTGCCGTAACTCCAACAGCTCCGCTGCATCATTTAGTAGATTTGCTCATCTACAGCTGATAGCAGAGCATGGGTTAGTGGATATGCCAAACATTGAAAAAATGAGCCTCTGATTCAAACATATATAAAAATGCTTTGTAATCTCTTATAAAACGTGAACGTGTACCGTTACTTTATTTTTATAGTTTTTGCCAATTTTAATGTATTTGTATTTTTTGGCATTTGGCGGCCAAATAGGGGTGTAAATCACCAGCTTTATCACGATACGATATTACATCGAAATGTTTGGATGACGATTCAATACTTCTCGATATCATAAAGTCTGTCATGATACGATTTTGATTCAGTACAATTCAATTCACATGTCTGCGATCGATATAATACAACATCGTGCCCATCTAACACAATGACTGTGTTAGATGGGCAGATGATATCAATTCACATCAAGCATATAATGATGATATAGATCGATATTTTCATTTTGCCTCGATATAACTGAATCATGAACCATTCAAATCAATATATCAATATACTGTAGATCGATGTATTGTTACACCCCTATGGCAGAATACCAATTATTAAGACCCCCACAGATGTTCACTGTTTATTATTTTAATTTAGAATTTTTTTTTCAAGATTTTTGTTCAACTGTACCGCAAAATGACTGCACCAATCAGCGTGAAATTTGGCAGGAATGTAAATGAGTCTGACCTACACCGCACCCGTCAACGGTTCTAGGATAGACCCCATTTTCGAAGAGAGGGCTCCATCTAAAAAGGGAGTGTCTAGACAAACAAAAATGCTTATGGCTTAAAAAAGCTATTCAACATAGGAGCTTCAGATTTAATTTATTTATTTTTGTTGTTTAGCTATGATAAAGGGCTATCCATTAGGCCCACTGACTGGCTTCAGAACCTCACCTGATCGGCTAGTAATTTGGGCCTATGTTACTGTTTTTCATCCGTGGACAAAAGACATCAGTGCTAAAGGCACGGATATAACAGACTCTGTTTTAACCAGTCGGAAACAACATTTAAGACTTCTGTTTAATATTCTTTTAGTCATTGGAAATATTGAACTTAATCCAGGTCCAGATAAAAATGTTTTATGTCCACTTTTTTATGTTTTATGGGATTTTATACATATATTTTTAATAATTATCTTGACCTGGGTTTGTGCACAGGTGTATCTTATATAAATCCAACTCAATTACAGTCTACACA